ATTGGATTGGATTGGATTGGATTCAGTTTGTATGCCGCCCTGTTCCCGAGAGACTCAGGACGGCTAACAATCAGAAGGGGAAAGGGGTACAAAATAAAAAATAAAAAAGACAAACACATTGTAAAAAACAACAGTCATACCCTCGAGTGGGGCTGAGAGATTCAGCAGCCCCAGGCCTGCAGGAACAGCCAGGTCTTAATGGCTTTGCGGAAAGCCGGAAGGGTGGTGAGGGTCCAGATCTCAATGGGGAGATCTTTCCAGAGGGCCGGAGCAGCCACAGAGAAGGCCCTCCCCCAGGGAGTTGCCAGCCGACACTGGCCGGCAGATGGGATTCGGAGGAGGCCTAGTCTGTGGGGTCTAATAGGTCTATGGGAGGTAATTGGCAGGAGGCCATCCTGAGCCACTGCTGCTGCTGTTCATCCCTCAGAATGGCTAGTGTGTGCCTCCCCAGCACCAAAATTTCCTCAGATGTAGTCATTCTTGGACCACAGTGTTCTATTTAAACTACACTAGACGTGTTTCAACTTCGTTCTTACAGTCCTTAGTATGAGAGGAGTGTAAGATATCTGAAGGACACCAGGTTGAAAAGACAGTATTGAAGGAGTAACACAGGATGCTATTTGGTCCAAGAGAAAAAAAAGACAACCTTTGTGTGTGTGTGTGTTTTTACATTATAGGAAAAAATATTATAACAAATTGTTATTTTCTCCAAAACATATTCCCCTCTTGCAACTTTTCTTTGAAAGACTACTACGAGTCTCTTGTAGTCAGATCCCAGTTGGAAGTCAACAGTTTAGTATCCTGGTAGGATTGCAACAAAGGCAATTGTTCCAGATTTGCCTGCATGGTTGGGATCAGGGCTCATAATATCTTTTGGTTGTTTGTTTCTTAATTCTTCTCCAGCTCCCAACATAAATGGCGTAGAGGAACCGAGCCTTGCTAAGAGACTGCGTGGCACACCAGAACGGATTGAGTTGGAGAACTATCGGCTCACGTTACAACGGGAAGAAGACTTGGAGGAAGTGCCAGAGGAGACATTGGCAGAGCACAACCTCAGTAGCGTGCTAGACAAAGGAACAGAAGAGGATCTACCCAGCAGGTTATTTGATTTGGGCATCTTTAACAGCTTCTGTAGTTAGATTTTTTTTTTACAGCCTATGCTAAAATATACTTCTTCAAATTAACTAGCAAAAATCTCTTAATATATTGTGGCACCAGAGACTGAAACGAAAGATGGGTTTGGAGTTTCATTATAAGGTCACTATTATATTCTGGTTCCTCTACAAATCTTATACAGTTTTTGTCTTCTAGTTGGTGATCTCAACCGTTTTCAGCATAGGATGCATTTTGCCCTGAATAGCATTTCCTGTTGTTACTGTTCCTCCTATAAAACTTAATAAGACCAAACAAGATTTGCATGCTTCTTCAGATTTAAGATTTGGGGGAACTTAAATGAAATGAAGGATCTGAATTAAAAAAAAAAAAAAACCTGTCCAAATAACGTTTTTGCATTGCAGGGGTTGGAAGGGAGGAAAATACATTCTTAGAAGTTGAAAAAAAATGCAGATTTCTTTCATACTCTAGATAAAATTCCCAGATGATTTGCATTTGTTAAGTTTTCCCATAATTTTACTTAAAATGGGCCATTTTTCGCTCATTTTTGTCCTCCCCAGCCCCCAAGAGCACTCTAGAAGCCTCCTAAAGGCAATGCACGGCCATTTTTGAAAAGGGGGCAGGGTTTTAGTTAGGTATTCTGAACTGGTAGATGATCATTTCCTTTGGCTATATTTATTGAAAAGTATTAAGCCTTTCAAGATGCCTCTTGCCTGTTTTCCCAACAGTAGCTCAGAATCTGAGATAGAGGAGGAGGAGGAGGAAGAGGAAGAGGAGGAGGAGGCAGCAGAGCAGCCCAAGCAACCGACCTCCGATCTGGGTGGCGTGCCATGGAAAGAGGCTGTGCGAATACATGCCATGTTGAAAGGGAAGAGTGAGGAGGAGCTGAAGATTGAGAAAAACCATGATCATGAAAACCAGGAGGAGGTAGAAGAAGAGGAGGAGGAGCTAGAGGAGGAGGAAGAAGAGGAGGAGGAGGAGGAGGAAGAAGAAGTCTCTAGCGAAGGTTAGTAATCATTTTTTTGCTCGTGTAGGTATACATTTGTGTGCTGATGAATGTATGTGTGTATGTATTCCTTTTTTTCCTCTGGAAAACTTACATATTAATACTATATTTTTCAGAGTATAAGATGCACCAAGATTTTGAAGAGGCAAATTAAAAAAAAAAGTTTTTGCACTCTGCAGACCTCCCAAAAATGGCCCGTTTTTTGCCAAAACAGGCCCATTTTTTGTCCAAAAAAAAGGGCATGCATAGCTTTTAGGAGCCTTTAGAGTGCTCCTAGGGACTGGTGGGGCAAAAACGAGCAAAAAACCAGCCCATTTTCTGCTCATTTTCCCCCCAGGAGCACTCCGGAAGCCTCCTAAAGACCATGCACGGCCATTTTTGCAAAGGGGGCAGGGTTTCGGGAGGCTAAAAATGCTGTATTCAGTGTATAAGATGCACTCAGATTTTCACCCGCTTTGGGGGGGGAGGTGTGTCTTATACTTCAAAAAATACAGTACATAGCAATAAATCTGATTGATACAGTATATAAAAAAATTCTGGGAAATTAGAAAGAAATCCTTTGAGGAAGTAATACCAGTAGAATCCAAATTGAGGCTATATTTTTCTCATTGTATTTTGTCTAATCCATTTTTCATTACCTTTATTCAATTTTAATATCATAAACACACAACTCGGCTGTCCTATTAGGGTTGACCAAAAGAAAAATCTACGAATGAATATGTTGCACTCAAGACGACGACAGAATCACAATATTAGGAGCCAGGAAACCAACCTCCAAAGCCGACATTTCAGAAAACAGTTATATCATTGTTGTAAAGCTTATTCATTATCTACGAAGTTCAGTGTTCCATTTCTGTCACTTGCGGGGAAGGCTGAGAAAAACCTCTATCTGGAATTTGTGAAGCTGTTACTACAAGCTGTAAACAGTTTGCATCATGTGGTCACCATTTGTGAGCCAGCTTCCGAAAAGCAGTCAGTGGAGGAAATTAGATTCATTTAATGACCACGTAATTCATACAACAATTGCAGTGATTCACTTAAATGTGGCAAAGAAGGTTGTAAAATCAAGCACAACTCATCATTCAGGAGTCTCATAATGCTTGTAATCCTTTTCTTTAAGAGCAAGGAAATATTGACTATAATGCCTTACTCCATTTTCAATGTATTGGACACTTAAAGATTTTACAGTAGGAAGGCACTAGAAACAACAACAGACCCTAATTCAGTTAGTTTAGGCCAGGCGTTTCCAACCTTTGCAACCCCAAGACTTGTAGACTTCAACTCCCAGAATCCCCCAGCCAGCATGGTCTTGTGTGCCAGAGGAATTCTGGGAATCGAAGTCCCAAAATTGCCAAGTTTGGAGATCCCTAGTCTAGGCCCTGTCCAGGGGTGGGTTTCTCGCCCCGTTCCAACCGGTTTGATTGGAAAGGGGCCAGCGGCGTCCTCGTGCACACGCGCGGTGCACGTATGCGTACTAGCATCTGCGCGACGCTCCAGCTGCTCCTGGAGGATC